TGGGGGAGGAAGGGGGTGGGGGGGGGGAAGGGGCTGTGCGGAGGCGGTTCGTGGCGTCCGGGTCGAGAGACAAGACCGTCAAGTTGTGGAACGCTTCCGTGGGACATTGTCTCATGACTTTCGTGAGTGCCATTTTTCCCTCTCGCTACAACCTCACCCCCATCGTTGCAACGGGCGATGCCCTCTCGCACGATGCCCTCTTGTCTGCCTTGCCTGCCCGTCCAGGATTGGACTTGGCTTCGCGCATTTGTGCGGTTATCGTTATGCCGGGCTAGAGCATGTTCTTGTCGGTGTGCCGGGGGCACGAGCCACTTTTGCGGGTACTTTGGGGATGCCGATCGCTTTCCGTCAAAGAAGGCCGTGCCCTGTGTTGTCAAACGTCAGCTGCTGCTATTGTCCACTTTCCTAGCTCTATCTTTGCGGTATCGCCCTCCTTCGTGATGATGGTGCTCTACCTCTTACTGCAAAGAGACCGGTGTAGTTTTGTTCCCGTGCTTTGCCTCTTTCTCGTTCGTCGTGCACTCTCCCCCCCCCCCCAAACCCCCCATTGTCATATTTTGGAGGGGTGTTCTTTTCCTGGGGCGCACTGTGTGTTTGTGTTGTTGCAGCTCCATGTTTCTGTTTTCTAAAATTGGGCCTTTGAGGTATGTTTGTTGGAGCATTGGGGGGTCTTTTTGATGTTGTTGTGCATTTTAAACTTTTGTTCTTGAAAAAGTACGAGGTGGGGTGTACCGTCTGGGGGAGAAAGTATCTGATGGGTGCTGGGGTTATGAAAGGGGGTGTGTGAGGGGTGTTGGTGAAAGGGGCTGCCCGGGTTTTATGGTTGTGGGAGGGGGGGTGAGAGTTGTGGTGTTTTTTGTTTCATTTTGTTTCTTGGTGATGTAGAGAGTGCTGGTGGCTTTTGCTTGGTTACTCGTGGTGGGGTGAGGCTTGATGAAGGAATGGTTTTGGGTGTTGTATGGGCTCGTTAGAGTCGGACGGGTGGCGAGCTGTTTTGAAA